CATCTCTCCCTCTCTCTCTCTCTCTCTCTTTCGCTCTCTCTTGCAGCGCGAATTCAATGAGAATCGCTACCTCACCGAACGACGACGCCAGCAGCTGAGCTCCGAGCTGGGCCTGAACGAGGCACAGATCAAGATCTGGTTCCAGAACAAGCGCGCCAAAATCAAGAAGTCGACGGGCTCGAAGAATCCTCTGGCCCTGCAGCTGATGGCCCAGGGTCTGTACAATCATACGACGGTGCCGCTGACCAAAGAGGAGGAGGAGCTTGAGATGCGCATGAACGGCCAGATACCGTAAATGGCAAACAGCTTCTCCCAGCTCGTCTGCTCGCCTGCTACCCGGCTCCCCCACTCCCCACACTCCCCGGCTGGTCCTAAGTGTGCAATATATAGAAGAGAAGGCGCCATCCTCCAGCCTTTCGCTGGCTGCTGGAATCTTTGTGAATTTGTGCGGCGTACAAAACTGTTCCATGTGATATAATTGTAATATATATAACTTTAAAAATATCGTAATATCGTATATCGTATCCTTAAGCTTATCGAGTTCTCTTCAAAGCTCTTGGCCCTCTAGCAAGTATTTATTTTCAACTATATAAAAAAAAAGTATTATCATTTAACTGGGCTCAAGCTCCAGCTGCTTCATAGTTAAAGCTTTTGCAGTCTTGCCACGAATAGCTTACCCAATCCTATTTCTATAAAACACCTACGTTCTTGTATAATTCTATATATATACACACATACATATGTATATGTATGTATGTATGCTTGACATGTTATAAGTAATTTAAAAGTTCTTTAGATTAATTTCTAGCTTAGACAAGACACACACACACACACATTAAAGCGCTTTGGCGAAGAAGTATTTCTAGTTTTTAAGACGCAAAACGAAATTGTTATGGATACAAAACATAAAAAATGCTTTAAAAACAAATAAAAGAAAATACAAAGTTTATGAACAACCATTCACATGCACCTAAACAAAAGCAATTTATCGAAATCCATGTGCTAAAACAAAAACTTAAAAACAAACAAGAAAACTTAAAAAAAAATTAATTAAAATAAAAAATATATTTGAAAAAATTAAAATGCGATTTTTTATTTATTCTTTTTAAAAGTGAAACGGAAAATAGCCTTTACGCATTTTTTGAGAGAAATTAAAATTTTCAGTCGTACCGAAATATCACCAAGAAAATTGTAAGGTTTGTTATATAAACCTGCCAAAATATCTGAAATATGATGTTAGATTTTAAAATGTTAGCAATGAAAGGGATGGAAACTTTAAGACTTAGAAATGAATGAAAAGAATATAATTTGGTACTAATTATTTATGAGCTTATATTAAAACATTGTAACTCCAATACATCCCATGCCCAGGGCTAAATCGAATTGGGTATTGATTCTAATTGAGAATATATATATCCTATGAATTGGAAAACCTTTCACATTCCACGTACACATTTTCAAGAACTAAGTAAACTCGAACTTTCGCGTTTATGAAACTCGACTATGACATTGCTAATCACACAAAGGATGCCCTAATGACAAAACCCTCTTTGATGCCTACAACTAATAGTATTACTTATTGTATTAGGATTTCAGTGTAAGCTTGATCAAAATGAACAACATTATACCCTGATTTCCCATTTTTAGTGAATATGAACAACTTACTGATATATTAACTAATTCGACTTTTTAGTAACAGAATGGAGCTAATAATTGATATTAATGCATATTTACTGGGATAATTCAAGCACAACATAAGATTGTATCGAGTTGATTTATCGATATGGCACTCATAGATATGCATATATAATGTATATTAAGTATTATGTATTGTATCGCATTATGTTACGATTGAAATAAGATTATTTGCACAAAGCGTAGAGTTATAAGATTATGGTTCTTATTAAACAGTTTCTTTATAAATGCTTCTTTATCATTAAAAAAAAAGAAAAATAAATAATTAAGTGAGAAAAAAGAAAACCAAATAATCTAGTTTTTCTCATTCCTTCTTTATTATGTATAAATATATTTATCTATAATATAGGTATGTACTACCCGCTATAATTAATATATAAAATTGTGTAATTTATTGAAAGCCTTAAAGTCGCTTATGAATATGCATAATGTAATGTTAACATGGCGTGAGTAAATGTTTCTATCTGCATCAAAGGTGAGTGATATACGAGCTAATGATTAATTTGATACGCTGAGAGTCGGAGTCGGAGCCGTCGCGTTGTCTCATGTTGTGACGGCAAATATTTGATATGAAAATAGCGGATTAGTCGTGTGAGTTGTGGCTGCATTCAGGTTAATAGGCTAGCTCCCAACGCCTTATCCACTGAGCAGCTACTGCAACAGCAGCAGCAGCAGAAGTCAGACAGGCGACGGCGCCTTCATTCAGATGACATGTCCACTGTCGCATTCGCAGTCGCATTCGCGTTCGCATTCACATCAAAGGCCGTCGCCGGCGCAACTTTAAATCATGTAAACTTGTCACCAGTCGAGGGCGGGAGGGAGAGGGAGACTGAGAACCAGTCAGAGAACACAACGAAGCAGCGCGGTGGAGGGGCGAATATGATTCGCTAATTGCACAATCACAGCCCAACGAGGACAATGAGAATGATGTGGCTGAGTCGGAGAACGAGCATGAGGATGGGGTTGAGTGACGGCAACAGCATTCGATTCAATTTGATGCTCTGCCATTTAATTAAAAGCCAAATCTTCATATAAACAAATATTGTGACAAGACAACACGGTTGCCATCAAATGAAACTGCACCCAGCCGAACAACAACAACAACAACAGCAACCACATCAAATGATTTATTAGCACAGATTTAGCGGGCGAACTGCAGCTCGCGTTAATTTGCTGAAAATAAATGCAAAAATTTCAAAATGCGAAAATTCATAGACAGACAAAGTTGTTGTGGGAGGCAGCGAGGGGAGGGTGATGAGGTGGAAGAGAGATGGGGAACCAGATCGGTAGCTGACATTTACTGGCAAGCGTTGATGTGTGCAGCTGATGCTGATGCTGATGCCGATGCGAATCTGGCAGAGATCGGGCCACATAAAATGAATTAATGCCAACGCTAATTGCGCCAAATGCTCGCCACAACAAAAATGAAAGAAATACGATTATGTGCGTTGCCATGTTGCCACATGCCATACCACACATGCACACCACAGCCTCACCGCCCTCTGCCTTTCACCCCCTTGAAGCGATTGCCAAGCAGCTTAAATCAGGCGTCTTATAGAGGCGCAAATCCATTTGCGCACGTAATGAACCAATTAGACAATTGCATGTGGCTCAGCTCGACTCAAATGAGCCGGAAATGAGCTGGCTCCGCCGTCGGAGCTGCTAGCTGGAACTAGTCAAAAGTCTTTTTCAACACTTCTAATTAGCAGAAATTGCCAAGTGACACACTAAATTTCACTTTGCCATTCCGGCTTGAGGAATTCCAATTGCGCTTTGCTACATTGTAGCGATCGGCTATTAAAAAGCCACAAAATCCCATATGTGCGCGTATGCCATATAAGTCAACCTCATCATGCCCAGCCACCACCCCCACCCCAACCCAATGCCGTCTACACTTGCCGCTTGCTGTGTGGGCGCCCAACGATCTGCAGCGCCCCCTGGCCCCCTCGCACGCCTTCGCCTGCCCCAAGCATCTGTGATTTATGCGCCTTTGAGGCACAAAATCTTCTGGCATCTTCCCCTTTGATATCGCCACGTGGCAGCCCCTTCGCTAATTGCATTTCGGCTTCGGTTTTGCCTACAAACTCCGAGGCGGCATTTTACAGTTTGTCGTATTAATTGCTGGTCCCACAAAGTCGCTTTGTGATGACTACACTGCACGAAACTAGAGCAGTGACTACAGGAAAAATAAAAATAAATATTAAAGTAAATGAAAAGTCATTTTAATGCATCGTATATAACAAGTTTGCACAATATTCTATATTTGTCGGATTTCGCTCTCTGTCTCTCCCTTTCTCTTTCTATATTCATATATTAAACTGCAGAAACATTTAATTCATACATAATCGAAAGTTACTGAAACTGCATTGAAAGCCAAATTCATTTTCATTTTGGATTTGTTTTGATTGACAGAATCAATAAATAGAAGAAATCATTTTTCGAATCATATTACAATTATCATTACTATCCCAATGAATCTTTAAATATCTAAGTTATAATAAACATACCATATTGCGTTCGCATTAACTAAGGAATATAATAAACATTTATTACCTGAATACAAATTAATTTGAATTAATTTAATATTACTCAATTTTCTGCTTTTAACCATAACTAAAAATCTGAATTGTAAAATAAAAGTCAATAAATTTTAACAAACTGAAAGGACAAATTTTAGGAACGAGCTAAATTATATTTTGAAGTAATACATTTAAAAATATATTAATAATCAAGAAGATCATTTAGTATAATCTATTATAATAATAATGATGTAACACACTTTTTCGTATTTTCGTAGGTTTTTTTGTAGAATTAATATGTATTAATATAATAAAAGTTTAATAATTTATGAAAATGTAGAATAAAATATATTATAATATTAATTTAATTTTTCGTAGAATACATAAACACAATATTCATTAAAAAAATAATATTAATACATAATATACATATATTAAAATATTTATAATTTAATGATTGCCATAACTTCTTTACTTTTTCGCCGATTGTCTTTGATTAGAGTTTCATTTTCTCGCAGTGTCAGCGCCAATAATATTCTCTATATTTGTGCGCATCTAGTAAATGTCGAAAATGTTAGCGGCGTCTTCTAGATTTATTTGCTGCAATGGGCAATTGGAGCTGCCACTTGTTTCCGCTTCGTTTTATCAATTGATTTACGATGCGATAATAAAATGCCACCCCCACACCCAACCCATGGACCCACAGTCCCACAACCCCTAGTGGGATGCGAGGCACAGCTTTTATGTCTGATGTACGCCATTTGCGCGTTTATAGCTGCCGTTGCAGTTGCAGTTGCAGTTGCAGTTGCAGTTGATGGTGCTGGCGCAGTTGATGGCGCAGTTGCCGATGGCATTTCATAATCGCTGCCAGTTCCATGGAAAGTGCACTCAATTATGGCCAACAGACAGGCGCTGAGTTTGACTCGGCTCGGCTCGGTGTCTGGATGTTTGGCTGTCTGGCTGTCCGACTGTCCGACTGTCTGGATGTCTTGGTGTCTCTCGTGGCTTTGGTGGGATAGTGAGTGTCTTGAAGTGAACGCTGCTGTCCCGCTCTGGCGCTACAGGGGCTACAGGCTAAAGCGTATCTCATGCGCTGCCAACTTGGCCTAAACAAACATTCAAATGCGAGAGGCAATGCCAGGCGGCAGCCACACTTGGCCACATTTTCAGCAGAAGTCAACGCCAACATATCCACACACTCGCACTCACACTCACACTCGCACTCACACTCACACTCGCACTCACATTCACATCATCATTGCCGTCAACTCGAAACGTCATTGTGTTGACTCAACGCATTTGAGCGACTTGCTCAAGACTCTCGCCCAGCTCCAGGCCGAGATCGAGCCAGAGCTGCGACTGGAACTGACTCGAGTCTCCAAATCCAACCCCATCCCCATACCCATTCCATGCCATCTGGCGGCGCTTAGCATTGCTTCAATATTTGAGCTGTTAACTTGTGAGTTTTGTAACTAAGTATTAAATACGTAATTGTAATTGATTGTCTTCCCAGAGCGAGGGTGGGAGGGTGCTAAGCAGCGACTGGCAGGACGCTAATTGTTCCACTGCTTGCGCCTTTGTTTGACTGCCAATTCGCACTTGCAGCGCTCTCAGTTGATGGCGGGCCTCGTTCGGATCTTGTTAGTGAGCCGCTAACTGCTCTCAATGCCCCGCTAAGTGACTCGGTCAACAAAGGCGCCCCGGCCATTTCACTATCAATGGACGTGCCAGCGACTCAAAACGATTCTCAATTATGGAAACACAGCGTTTTAGCTCATTTAAACTGGTTTCATTTAAATAATAGTTGTAATGGAACAAAATATATATATATAAAAAAAAAATTGTATATGCCATGAAAAGAACTATCAATATTAATTTATTATATATGTAAATAAATATTAAATTATATAATAATTGATTAAATATTTATTTCGTACAAATTTGGAAACTTGGTCAAAACGAAGAAGAACTTTACGTTTTATTACTTTTCAAATCGTCAGAATGAGCGAGTGAGAGAGGGAGAAGGAGAGACGGACAGAAAGCTTTCCTGAGTCTAAGCTTTTCATTATTCAAAATCTATACACAGTAACTCAAAATAACGTGCTTTATAATAAATATTCCTTGATAAGGAAAATATTCTGTTCTAACTGCCAACAGTTCGAGCACATAACCATAATACAAAATATTAAAAAGAATATACCAAAAATATAATATAAACAGATCTTACATCCATATAACTTATAATTATTCAACTCCATTTCCTTATGCCATAAAATTAAGTAAGCTGCGTGGGTCTTTTATGACAAGGAATCAATTATATTTTTATTCTTTTCAGGCGAATGAATGAATTCTTTTTCAGAAACTAATCTCAAATATTATGTGATTACAGCCAGTTTTTATCCACACATACATTTATTACTATTCTCATGTAAAGCTGTTAATAAGTAAACTGTAATAAAAGAAAATATGAACGCCTTCTAGGCTTCACTTAATGCGCAAACAACTTGAGTGTTTGACACACTTAAACACTTTATTTATTCAGTTATTCCCATCGAGTAGACAAGTTTCGCTTTATGACCTCACAAGGCCATAACAACAAACGTGAATAATAATTTACAAATCTAATAAAACATGTGAACTCATATGAAATATGAAATGTCCGTTGGGAGCTGTCCAGGTGTGGCGCCACCGGACCACCAGACCAGCCCGCCCAAAAAAAAAAGCGGATATGGTCGTAATTGAAGGCATTGAAATTGTTAACAAATGAATTGGAAATTGAATTTCCCAAAGAGCCATAAATACATAATGAATAAATGCAATCCACACACCGGCTGGGAAAGGTCTCAAATCATTTCCAATTGTCGAAGTTTTCCTGGGGGGCCTCAACAACAACAACAACGAAGACGACGACTATTATGATGACATTATTAACATTATTTTGTGCTTATTAATGTTTAATGGCAAAACACACACACACAGACACAGTCACACACATATATGCACACACACAACATTTAATAATCATAGGCCATAAATGTGGCAGCCAATTGAATTTTATGCAAATGTCACTGAGGTGTTTCCCCAGACGCCGTCTCAAGGCGTGCCGCAACATCTTAAAGACTCGTGTTTAGACCTTAACTGAAAATACGAATGGAGATTGAGGAAGGCGGGAAGTCAATAGACAACGGCAACAGCAACAGCAACTATGAAGGAGACGACAAAACCGAGGCCCGAAAGTAACAAGCGAAAAACAATTATTTATTTGAACTGTGGGTCAAGCAGCCCCACAGAGCTGTGAAATTAATAAGCATGTACGGAGTGTAAAGAGATACTGACTGACTAAAAAATACCCTGTCATAGAGATAGGAGTTTAACTTTAAATTCTACTTGTTTTGGTTGAATAAGAAATTACAAGTTTTCAAATTATACTTCGATAAATAAAAAATAAATAATAATAATAATAAATAATAATAATAAATTCTCTTCATTTTAAATTTTGAGTTTTAGCATACTGAAATTCTACTATTGAAGCTTGGAGAATATTCGAGAATTTCGGAGTTTGTTGTACACTTACAATAAATGTTTTTTTATACAGATACATAAAAACTTTTGTTTATAGATGAAGAAGAAGAAGAATTGGTAAGCAAAAATATTAATATATATTAATATTATTATTTATATTATTAATAAATATTAAATTATAATAATACATGATGAATTTAAAGTGCTTTATAGCTTTAATTTTAAAAATATATTAAATGTAATAAAATTTACAAACACTTTAAAGTACATCATTATTTGTTTCCATAAAAAAAAAAATTTAAACTTTAATATATTAGTTTTAAATTTGTATTTGAAGCATTTGGCATAGAATTTAAGTTTAACATATACATACATACATATATAATAATAATAATGAAATTAATCTGCATTTTGAATTCGGGGTAGAACATTTAATGTCTTATATATATATTGATATCATAATTTTGTGCGATTGGAGTAATTATAGAAAAGAACAAATATATGATACAACTGATAAAGGCAAGCCCATTAAGCTTTCAATGTGTTTCACGGCACTTCCATAGCAATTCAAGGTGAGATAAATATATATTAATTAATTTTAAATACCAAATACAAATAAATTAAAATAAATATTAAATTCTTTATAAACCTAAAAATTAAAAAATAATGTCAAAAGTAAAGATAGCTAATTTGTTTCTTTGAGTCAAATACTTTTTTATAAACAATTTTAAATTAAGTTTTACATATTCCTCGGTATGCATAGGTGTTAGTAGAACATATTTGTAGACTTCATAAAAATACATAAAGCATGATCCTATCACAATGCAAACGCTTGTAAGAGCATTTGGCTAACAAGCTGATGCCAGAGTGAGGAAGGTTATTGACTGTTGGCGACAGAAATGCATTAGCTGGTGGGGATAAGTATGCGAGTGGGGCGTCTGTCTGCCTCTGCCGCTGCCTCTGCCTCTGCTGTCTGTGGTGTGCTCTGTGTTGTGAGTTGGCCCCCCAGGAGCAGAAGATGGCAACACCAATTGCAAGACAAATGATGCGAACCGAACACAATGTCCAGGCAACAGGGAGACAGACAGACATGCGCAGCCCGATAATGACAATATTTTGGCATTTGAATATATGACAAACAATGAGTTTTAGCTCTTTTCGAATATCGCCGGCAAAGTGCGGCGGAAATTTGTCATTTATCATGCGATGAAATTCGCGTAATGCAAAAAGAGTTCCCAAATCCAAAATTGTTTGCAACGCTAACGATCTCTTGCACTCACACACTCTCTCTCTCTCTCTCTCTCTCTCTCTCTCTCTTTCCATTGTGAATAAGCCTCGATCATATATCAAACTCGCACGTAAGCATCGTGCCATTGTGGGTGGGCTACAGCCGAATTTGATTTAATTAGTGGAGGCCGAGTGTGAAGCCGCGAGCGCCGAGGCCAGAGCTGGGCCGGAGTTAAAGTCACTTGCGACTGACCGAGCCCAAGACAAACATTTCGCATTTCAAATTAAATGAAAATATTTGCGCAATGAAACAAATTAGTTTCGTATTGTTTCGCCATAACAGCCAAAAGAGGTCACAGAGCATAATAGCTGGAAAGTTCAGTTTGTGAGGAAACAAGAGGAGCGGGCAGACAGACAGAGAGAGTGGAGAGAGAGAGACTCAGAGATAAAAGAGTATTTGTTTTCCACTCTGTGAGTCTTACCCTATTTGTATTCACATATAATCTAGTTTCAGGTGTTGAAGGATATTTCCAATTCGGCTTTCTCATTTTTCGCAAATCCTGTTAACCACAGCGAGTATTTCATTATTACTTTTTCTCCTTTTTTTCGCCCTACACAAACGCGGCTAAATGCATGCGAGTGTCAAAACAAATTGTTTATATGCAAAGTGAGCAAGTTTACACACACACACACACACATTCGCACACATGTAACTGTGATGTAAACAAATGTGGCTGATTCTGATTCAACGTGAAACAACCCCAGCGCTGCTCCAACAGCCGCCCCATTGTTGGGGCAGCCAACCAGCCAAAGCACTTGAAATCGGAATCAGAATTGGAATCTGCAGCCCCGCCGCCGCTCCCTGCTGCAACCCAGCGCCCTGTCGCTCCCTTTAGCCAGCGGGAAAAATAAACATTGTGCGCGCAAGTTGTAAAATTTCAAATTAAAAACGTGATCTCGGCGCGAATTGGAAAGTAAATTATTTGATTCTGCACTTTTTTAGTCTCTTACCTGTCCCCAGTCCCAGCCCCAGTGGCCACCCCTTGTTTGCTGTCCTGTTACCAACACCAGGCAGTCCAGGCAGACAAGCGAAAGTGCTGAAAGCTCAATAAGGCAAACAAAAAGGAGCTAAAAACAAGCTTAAATGAAGAGAAAAAAACAAAAACAAAAAACTGCAGCTCCAACATTGGCGCAATAAAAAAGGACGCGAATGCAGACGGCAGGAGGTGGCGCAGTGTGGAATAAAGTGCTGTGAACGCAGCAAAAAGGATGTTGTATGTATCCTGGCGAAACGTGTTGAAAATTGCGCTGCGCCGTTGGTTATCTCTCCATTCAGAGGCCAGCACCGGCCCGAGTCGGAGTTGCCGCAGGAGACGTGGAGAGGAGCAGGAGCAGGGGCAGGAGGCGAAAAGCGCCAAACAGTTTTTATCTGCGTTCGTGCAGCGCTTCAAGCACGAGTTGGGGCCATAACTCAATGAAGGGTGGTTGGGTGCCTGAGTGGTTGGCTGATTGGGCGCTTTGGGTGTTTGGGTGGTGCGGAAACGGATATGCGCCACAAGCACAAGTTGAACAGCTTTCGCACCACTGTGCCATGGTGGCGATGCCTCGACGACGCCTTAATTGAGGTACAAATTGAGCTTTTGCTTCGCGCTGCCTTTTTTCATGCTTTTCATTCTCAGAAAAATTACCCTACTACACACACACATACACAGAGAGAAGAAAATGAAACAAGAATGTTGCATAAAACGCTAGTGGGCGGCTGGGCCAGGGCGTGGCAGACTGGCAGAATTCAAGTGGGATTTCGCCAGCGAGATTTAATGCGCTCTTTTGCTTTCTTTTTGCAGTTGCAGCTGAAACTGGAAACGGAACAGTGAACACACAATAAATTGAAGGGAGACAGACCTACTTTAGGGCGTGAAGGAGCAGGATAGTCATAGAGAGAGGGAGCGGGTGGCAGCATTAGATATGCAGGCAATTTGGGTTTTATAGCAACTAGTTTTTGAAACGGATGCAATTGATGTGATTTTTATGGCATGTAATTCACAAGTGAAA